TTCTTCTTCTTCTTCTTCTTCTTCTTCTTCTTCTTCTTCTTCTTCTTCTTCTTTTTCTTCTTCTTCTTCTTCACCACTAGACCGAGATGCCAATCGCCTGGACGAACACAATGGTCCAGTGAAGGTCCTCCAAGTTTCCACAGAGTTTATCCCTTCATGGAATCTCGACTGACCTCATTATTTTACTTTGGGACACCATGAAGGTGGCTCGCTCGACAAAGCCATAATAGATCCTCAGCATTCATGATTTCCTCTTTTCACCACACATTGCAAACCGGCCGGTCCTGAATTATTTATATATCGCTTTTGTTAGGAAAATACAAACTTTTTGGTTTATTATGCCTTGCCCTTAATCTGATCATGAGAACATGATTTTGTCAGCTTAGCTTGCGATTGCCTTTAGACTAGATTATTTACCAGTAAACTTTATATTGTAACTTTCATTTCTTCTGAAGAAGAGCTATAATAGTCTTCTCTCTCGGAGGGCGATTTTCATACTTGTTTTATAAAGGCATTAAAAAATATATGCGCCTGTGAAAACATACCTATCCTTGTCCCTTAATATATAGCTGTACGAGTCTTAGGTTTCTCCCTTATTATTTACTTACCTGTCCTTTATAAGAAAAAAAATCATAACGCAGTGTATTAAAGATTTTAATCGACGTCCCGTCGATTATAAAGAGAAGTTGACGAGAATTCAAGTGAACGAAGATCGATTTTCTTTTTTTTCTGTTATCTTTAGTGTGCGTGATATATGACGCAGGTTTGACAGGCCTGTCCTGTCATTGTTTGTTTGGGCTGGAAAAGGGTCTTTTATCAAACCAGGGTGACAATTCTAAGGAGGGAAAGTACGGAGGTTTATCTGTTGTTTCAACGGGTACCCATTGTATTGAAATCTGAACTAGTCCCTATCCAGTTTTGACTTTTAAAAGTTTGGCAAGATATCAAAAGTATAAAAATGATATAGATCTAGACTTACCTCTCCATTTCTCTTCACTTTTTAATGTTTCAAGTTTTAACATGTTTTTGTTCGGGGGAAGGGAAAAACAGGAAAAGGGAAAACCGAACAAAGTAAGTGTGGGGGTTATTATAAAGACTATTCAATTTTTAGTTTTTGTCTGCCTTTTTTTTTCTTTTGTTGTTGTTGTTGTGTGTGTGTGTGTGTGGTAGCCTACCGTTCGAAATGTTCGGAGCCCCGAAGAGTGTGCTCTTCGCCAGGGCCACC